TTACCAATAAACTTTCTTTAGACAGTATATTAATATTTACTTACTAAATTTTCTTTGAACCCATTTCAATGAATACCTATTTTCTAGAATTGGTCGAGGAGCAATGGAGGCGTTTTCTTTTGTCAATTGAAGAGCAAAGCTTTTAAACCAACCATAAGTTTCGAGTTCGTTATCCGATAAATTCTTCGGATTATATAGGAATATGTGAGCTGAAGGAGTATAATGAGTTCGATTCCAAGATAAAAGGAATTGAGGAAGTCCATCTAGATCCAAAAAGAAGGCTGAAAGTGCTGCATTTTGAGAAGAGGAGGAAGAAGCAGATGGAATAGAAGGGAGAGCTCAAGGAGTGCAAATTTTGAAGTAATCTTCCTTAAAAAATTTCTAGTTATCTTTAAATATGGTACAACATTTCAATCCAGGGCAACCTTTTAAAGAAACCCAATTGTAACAGGTACTCGTTTTTTCAATGGCGTTGCGAAACACCACAAAAAGACAGAAAAATACCCGGGCATAGGTGAACTCATAAGCCCGGCAAATTAGTTCAAATTTTTTTGAAAATACCATATGTTAGGATGAAGTTGAGAAGGGGCAACATCAAGATAATGCAGAACTTCCATTTGGAAGTCGGTAAAAGGTAGTAGGATTTTAAGTTCTGAGAATAAACACTTATACACAAAGAAGAAAACATCATCACCATGCCCTCAGGGAGAACAAATTCTTTCGTTCTCGCCAGGGATTCAACCCGGAAAGAAGTAATTATTGGGTCATGAGACAGAGGTAATGAGTCTAATACAGACTGCAAGGCAGTCGAGTCATTTTCATAAGATGAACGAAGTCCTAAAGCCTCTTCGTCAACCCATTCTAAGCTCGCCAAGTTAGGCGGAAGAGCAAAACGAGAAGCAGGAAGCAAGTGGTGAGTGCGATTCTTCAGCATGTTCTTGGAAGGAAAGGCACAATTAGACTCTAACTCGAAAACTGAATTAAAAGATAATGTAGCATCAGAAGTTGGCTGAGGATGCAAGATATTCCAATTCGTCTTGAACCTGGCAAAGGGAACATGGGGGCTCTATGAGAGCTAAAACTCTTAGTAAAAGGAGCATAGTTTTCTCGCAAAGTGAAGGTATCTGATTGATCTAAAATGTCTTCTTTATTCAAGATATCATTTAATGTACTTTAAGGGTTCATTATATCGAAAATACTCACAGCAGTAATGGAGAATACAAGACAACCAACAAGTTTACAAATAGAGACTAAAGAATGAGTATAGGAAAGTGAGTGAACTTACCTGTTATAGAGTGAAACGATTCTTGAAACTGGAAAGGATGCTTCGCCGAAAATGAAAATGAGAAGCATTGATAGAAGAAAAGAAAGAACAAGAAGAGGAAACGAAGAGAAAAAAGGAGAAGAATAAAGAGGCGAGAGAGAGGGGAAGTTCAAATTAAAAAACGTGCATTGTAAGTTTAAGTATTGTCGTTTCGAATTTTGAAATTTAGAAATGATTGAAAGAATGTCATATCGCGTCGTTTGATAAAACCAAGATCATACAAAAGAGGACATGTGGCATATGTAACGTATAATAACAAGTAGCATTTAATGATAGGACTGCTTGGTGGATTCAATTTATAAATGATAGGATTGCTCGGTAGATTCGAGTTATAAAGATAAGACAAACTCATATTGGCAACTCAGAGTATTTCTTGAATAATACTCCGAGTTTGGGGCCTTAATGTTCCGAATTTATAACTCAGATGGGCCTACGTAGACATAACCTGGAAGCCCATGTATCATTACCCAGATAAAATAAGCCCGTAGCCTTTCTCAGAACACAGAATTGGAGCCCAGGCAATCCACTATTCTCTCCTATTATATGATGACAAGACCACGATCATTATAACTGCCAAGTTAATAACTGTCCCATATCCATTAATAATAACCGTTAATAGAACATATATAAAGAGGAAGATAAAGTTCAAGAGATATTAAGTTCAGATCAACTATAAGCACTACCGAACCGATTTAACCTAATGTTCATACTGAACACATTTCAACATAAAATTTATGTTATTAGGTGAATGTTATATTAATAATTTTATATTATATTTCTCTAACAGATTTTAGATAGTAAATCTTAAAATTAAAACTTAAAATCTTAAGCAAGAATGACACAATTCGAGAGACAAAATTTAGAAATGAAATCATAGTATGATTTTATTGAATATTAAGATTAAAATAAAAAATGAAATCTTGGTTTGAACTATGAAATATATATATATATATATATATATATATATATATATATATATATATATATATATATATATATGGGATAGGATCATTTGACATCGGTGTCAAATTTAAGGTTTGACATCTCATCTGAAAGCCCTTAGATCAAAAAATATCAATTGTGTCACATGCTTACAAATCAAACGGTTATATATATATATATATGAGATATGATCCTTTTTATCTAACGGCTCTTAGATGAGGTGTCAAACTTTAAATTTGACACTAGTGTCAAATAATCTTTTATATATATATATATATATATATATATATATATATATATATATAAACTTATCAGTATAGTAGCAAACTTTCAATTAAATTAATTAAATGTTAATGCCGATACCACATATCTACATATGTAAATTGATATGCTTAATATTTTTTAAGGTAACATAATTAGAATATGAGTATATAAAAAATAAATTAATTAATTATAATCCAACAATAAAATCTATAAAATGTTACTTAACATATGTGTGTGTGTGTGTGAATCACGTCGTTTAGACAATTTGAAACTTCCAAGCAGACCAATTTGTGTTCAATGTTTTTCTTTTATTTTCCAAAGGTATTTCTTTTACCGGATTACCATAAGAATAAAGATTATTTAGTTTGACTAGTCAAAAACAAAATTCATATTTTTCCTCATTTAGTATTGCAAAATCGCTTCGAAGTTTGAATTGACTTCAGACAAAGCAACATAAAGGGGGTTATAGGTCAGAGTGGGAACATAAATCACTAATAATTTCAGAGTTTCTTCCTGTCTATGTTTTGAAGGATTGGAAAGGCGGTTTTATTAATTTAAAACCAGAAGTCTCATTGTGATCCCCTCCCTATTCACTAAAAAAGAGAAGTTTCATTGTGAGCAAATCATTTTGGCACTTTCTTTTCTTTTCCATTATTATTTTCCTTGGCATAACCGGCAAAGTAATTAAGCAATCACCAACATGAATACTCCATAGTCAAACACGTTAATCTTTTTCTTTTTTCTTTTTAAATCAGATACATTAATTTCCCTTACAACAAAATAAATTGCAAATAATATGAAATTAGGTTATCTAATTTCTAATTATAATTAAAAATGGAAAGCGGTGTGGCCATGAAGTGGCCCAATATGTGTCCACGGTCCAAAGCATGACAAGCCCATATGTCCACACAGACTAAAATTATTTCCTAGCTCGAGCTTAGTGAAATTATCTCTTCAATCCGTATGTTATTTGATTTCATAATTTTGTTTCAGTAAATTTGATTTCATAATTTCTGATCTCTTGCTTTATTTCAATCTGAGTTGTAATTCTGTGAAGACTTTGGCTCTATATAGAATTTGGAGGCAATGAGAAAATCTTGGAAATTTTGGACAATTCCTTCTCTCCTCTTTTCTCTGCTAACCTCTCAACTCCCTACTTCCCTCTTACCCTAAAAAAATCCCAACAGGTTAGAACTGTTTTCTTGTGCTCAAGAACCATAAGTGATATCAAATTTCTTTTAGGAGTAATTGATGACCAAGTTGAATTTTTTTTTTAAGACTTTTTTGCCTACCCTTAACTCTCCATCTCTCAGTGTGCTTGGGTGGGAAGAAAAATTATTTAAGCGCATAGATTCTTCTTTGTTTTCCTCCTTTTCGTGTTTGTCATTGTTTCTATTGTTGAAGTGTTGAGCGAATAGGAATGTTCCATCGAGAGAATGGGAGACTAGAAAAGCATAATATTAGCCAACGAAGGTTAACATACTTGGTTTAGCTTTCGCCTTAGCATGATTTAGATTCGATGTACATGTTTTCCTCTTTTGTGGGCAATATATAATCTCACCGTCAACCCTTATTTTCCTTCATCTTTATTTCCCTTGGTCTATAGTTGGCAATATATAATCCCATCTAAAATACTTAATTTCTTAGTATTGTATAGGAATGTCTTTCCCTCATCTAAACTTTTATCTATTAAAATAAAGAAAATTACATAAGATAAAACTTATCTCCTAGACTCACATATAAAGAGATGGGACTCATTTATATTTTTTATCTCTCATATATTCTCTTTCCTCTCTCCTCTATATGTGTCTATAGGAGATAAGTTTTATCCTATGTCACGTAAGAAAATAATTTCCCTAAAATAAAATAAAAGCATAGTATTAAAGATGAGCAAAAGCCAAAAAGGCCACAACACAAACGGTCTATGCCTGTTGAGGATAACTTGTTCAAGTAAGAGGTATATTGCATTGCATTACTTGATCAGTTTGTTGCTATGTACTAGTCTTAAGGGTCCAAGGATAAATAAATCAGAACTATGACCGACTTTCAACTCGACCTATATCTTTTAAAAAGCTCATTCTATTTACTGCAAGAACATTCCACTCACATCCGAATTTATTTATTTATATTTTAATTGCCTAGATCAACAACCGTACTAGTGTTGGTGAACATGACAACTAACGAGGTAGTCTTAACAGTGAAAGACAATAACATAAGAAAGGAAGCAATTCAGTGTCAAAGGCCAAAAATACCATATATATGTTGTCTCAAGTTTCTAGTGTAACCCAAAAGTCTGGGCGATACATAAAAAAAGAACACCTCAGGACCAAGAATATCCATAATTGTTGGTATTACATATGAGAAAGTTACATGCCCATGTTCCAAAGGTTCAAAGCTTTTAGCATGAACGATAACTTAAAAAGACTTGACGACTAATTCTTGACACTCTGCGGATCCCTCACTTTGAGGAGGGAATAATTTTATCATTGAAAGCTCTTTATAAGAATACATTAAAAAACAAAAAAAACAAAAAAAACAAAAAGAATGGCACTTAAGAGACACAGAAATGTAATGAAAGAATAAATGAAAAACCCAGTGTTCAGCTCTCCCCCACGTTTTCCTCTTTATCTACACACCCCAAAAATACAATATCCATCCAAAAATTCGTGCAACATTGCTAATAGAGCCGTATCCAATGAGTTGCTTCTTACACGATGCAACCAAGTGTAGCTGAGAAAACTCCACCACCTCATGAATCATCACAATTCAATCCACAAATTTCCAACACAGGACCATCTTTTGACACAAATGGATTGATTCGAACCCACATGAGAGTCAAGATTGAAGCCAAAAGGATTGACCAAACCAAAACGATGGTGGGCATCCTATCTTGTTTACCAAGTAACCCCTTGAGGAATGGGTAAAGATGAAGGATAACCCACAGGGCAAAGAACAATCTACCAAAGAGAGGACCCCATGAGTCATACCCATTGTTGATGGCATCTGAGACCCCAACCACAACTCCAACAATATTCATGATTAATAGTGTAGTTGGAGGAATCAACAGTGATGTCCACTTGAAGATATAGAGCTCTGAGAATTCTCCATCATCAGCTGCTTTCGAGGTAACGGTGAAATTTGTGTCAACACCAGCCAAAACCTTCAGTAAACCCTGAAAAAGGGCAAAAAGGTGTGAAGAAACACCTCCAATCACCCAAAACTGTTCATTCCTCCACCAATCATCGATAGCAACACCACCCCACTGCATCTCAAGGATACCAGTTGCTGCAATGGATATGAAGAGGGCCATGAACACAAGACTTGCATAGTTGCTAATCTGCACATTAAGGAAAATACATGTTAAAAACCATTCCTACACTTTTGGCTTATTATTTCAGTAAAAATCCAGAATGCCACAGTAACATGCAATGTCATTTTAAAAATGGGTTCCGTTAACATGTACCTGTTAAGAAATAAAAAATAGAAACTACTAAGTGAAAAGTACAAGCATTTAATAAATTGAAAATCCAAAAAACATATAATACTTTCATGCTTGAGAAATCAGGTTGAATAATAAGTGCTATCCATGTGCCTTCAAAATCCTTAGGGAAAACAAAGAAAAGAAATAGAAGTATTTAAAAGTAGCCAAAGACACTGCAATGGGGCTAACTTTGCAGTATATAATTGTTCCAAAACCATTTTCAATAGTTTCTAAGTACAATAAATATTATTCGTCCTGGAGACCAGGGACGGGAAAAAAGCTAACCAAAAACTACAACCCTTCAGATAGTAAATAAAACTCAAATTCACAAATATGTTTGATATGTCAGAAACAAATCTAAACAAAATCAAGCACAACAATCACTTGTTTCTTAATTCCTTAGCCAAGGGGGAATTCAAAGAGATTTATTTTTGTAGACACAAACTTAATAGATGATCCACACAAGCATACCTCAGGCACGATAAATTTTCCAGTGAGAAGACATATAGCTGGTAAAGTACAGTAGACGAGCAATGGGACGGAAGTCAAAGGATATACAACCGAATTTATGTACGAAAATCGTTCCAAAAACTTCAACCCGCCACCATAGCCATACCAGATTGGACAATGTCTGCTAAAAAAAATCTCAACCGATCCAAGGGCCCACCGAAGAACCTGGTGCAGACGATCTGAAAGATTGATAGGTGCTGACCCCTTAAATGCAGGCCGCTTAGGGATGCAATACACAGACCGCCAACCATGGCAATGCATTTTAAATCCAGTCAAGATATCCTCTGTCACAGAACCATATATCCACCCAACCTGGTAATAAGCCAAAATAAGAGCATAACAAGGAAGAAATGTGAGTACTATATTAGAATTTGAGAGAGAGAGAGAGAGAAATAGAGAGGAGAAGCCATTGAATCGATTGTGTATATTCTGAATTATATCACTGATACAATGTGAGTACTATTAGAATTTGAGAGAGAGAGAGAGAAATAGAGAGGAGAAGACATTGAATAGATTGTGTATATTCTGAATTATATCATTGATACAAGGGGCTCTCTCTCTCTCTCTCTCTCTCTCTCTCTCTATGTATGTATGTATGTAAAAAACCACATCAACCCAAAGCTTAAGGCTTTGGGTTGAATTGGTTCTTTTACATGGTATCAGAGTTTAAGTGACCATAAGGTCGCAAGTTCAATCTTCACCGCCTCCCACTTGTGGAATTAAATAAGCATAAGGTAATAAGGTAAAAAAAAAAAAAAATTAAGCCTATGCAATATCCACATTTCAAGCCCAAAGGGCTCTTTCTTACGTGAGGAGATGTGTTAGAGAAAAATATAAACCATTTAAAGTTTTGGGTTGAATTGGTTCTTTACAAGTACTATATTGTTTTTCAAAAATTAAAATCAGAGTCTCTTTCTTCAGTACTTACTTCTTTTCCCCATTCAGTTTTGTCTTCATAACCGCAGCTGATGACTTGTATGGCTTCTTTTAAAAGTGATGCAGGACTCACATCCGGGGGAACTCCCCCGTTTTCCAAAAGAGAGGAGGCTACAAACACAGGAGACTGCCCAAACCTCTTCTCCAACTTTATTTGAGTCAAATTGGATGACTTCTCTGTATTGGATCCTGCAACAGAATATATATTGTGTTACTATCCAGGAATTTTCTTACGTGAAAAGTGTTTAAATTTGTAAGGACAGCTGCATGATCGAAGACTTTCACCTTCAATGCCCTCAATATTTTCAAGTGCGTGTATCTGCTTTGATGCTTCCCTATGCTTCACCTTTTTCTCCTTCTTGGAGTTCGCATTTTTCTTCTTTCGAGAGCCACAACATAGGCAGCAGCACCATTTCGGCAAACAGTTACAGGTTTTGCTTGGGGGCTTCTTCTTGGCAGGTGCATCATATCCATAGAGTGCTTGCCTTCTAAAAACACATCCAGTTCCGACATAAATCGGTCCTTGTATTCCATCTAGCCCTTTCATGTTGATCTGTTTTCAATTTGGGAGTTAGCACTTTGCACTAGTCATAATAAAACGCAAGAAGAAAAAATCCATACAAACAAAGCAATGCGAAACAAAGGACTTACATCAAAGAATACAACATTCCGGTTTGAGTATCTATCATGGCGATCAATCCCATCAAATCTTTGAGGAAATTGCACATAGCATATTTTTTTCCCATCTTGAGGGTCCATCATGAAACACATGGCTTCTCTAAGTGCCTTGCTATTGTTAATGTAGTGATCACAATCAACATTCAGAAGATAAGGCGCATTTGAGATAATTGCAGACACCCGTACCTTCAAAACATTATTACATCATTATTGCACAAAACATAGAGAACACTGAATAATCGGTTGACTTGAATCTGAACCAAAAACACTGAATAATCAGTTGACTTGAATCTGAACCAAAATAAAAGTAACTTGAGACTTACCAGAGAATTCATTGCCCCAGCCTTTTTGTGGTGATCAAAGCCTGGTCGCTTTTCACGAGAAACATAAACTAAGCGAGGTAACTCATTTCCTTCAATATCACGAACACCATCCTGAAGACCATCCTGACCAAGTAAGACCTGTAAAACAAAATAAAGGTAAGTAATAACTTCCAACTTCAAAGGTCACTGCAATGTGACTACTAGAATCCAAATCCTCCAGTCATAGTGATACGATTCTATCCTAGTCAGCAAACGGTTTAGAAGTGTGCATAGAAGAAAGAGAAGCAGAGGAATATTGCATAATGCTAAGTCAGCAAAAGTTGTTAGGAGTAAGTCACATTGGATGGCATGGGGTCACGTTGGGTGAGTTGGATCTATTTAGATGAGGGGTTCAGCATTATCGAGGAGATCAGGAATCTTTGGGAAGTATTGGGATCCTTTTGGATATTGGGAGAGAGTGAGACCTCTAGAATTGTCTCACATTATTTTTACTGCATTTCCTTTTACTGTTAATTGTATTTTTCAGTTCATTGTATTTTTCAGTTCATTGTATTTCCTTCCTTCTTGTAATTTGTCTCTGAATTACTGTATCAGTGGTAATTGTCTCTGGAAAAATATATAAAAACCTGATTATTCAGGCCAAGGATCTCTATTAATGTCCTTATTTTAGTAATCTGAGTAGAAGGTCCGTAACACATAGCATTAAGGTGAATTTAGCAAGTCCACTTGCAAGCATGAATGCTTGAATATTTCTATTATAAACTGTAAATAATTTTCCATGTCAACCAAGTAAACAAGTATTAACAACCACCAGATGTCTCATAGAACCTTCTTAGAAATATACTCATTATGATTAAAATAAAAACCATAGAAAGAAAAATGTAAAACATGTGGATATAGAACCTCTAAAAGTGCAACCTTTCCGCATTATTGTGCTTTGTTATCCAATATCTTGTATTTATGAAATTATACAGTACCAATTTTTTTCATCAATGTTTATCAACCCTGCTCTTTAGAGGATCCATATCCTCAACAACTCACTAGATGCCTAGCACCCAAAACTAAAATAAAATAAACCATTTTTGGTATCTGTTTAACAGATAAAATCTTACTTGAATCATGCCAGGATGATCCCTCACATTATTTCCAGGCCATGGAGTCCCATCCTGCATTGTCCATCCATCCTCAGGAACCTTTTGTGCAGTTGCCACCAAACTGTTTATCCTCACCTTAAATTCCTCATAATCTCTCTGTAACAGCCAAAGGAATAAAGTGCATTAGTAGTTTCAAATATTTTACTACTGTTTGCAACCTTGAGTGCAAGAAGTTATATATAGTCTACTTGAATTTACAAATTGCATTCAATGATGTCCTTAGTGTGATTTCCTATTCAAATCATTTGTTAAATGGTAATATGTCAAAAGACTCAAAATGGTTATTGATGAAATAGTTTCAATGTCACATGTCACCATTTTACAAAACGATTTGGATGAAGGTTTACTACATGGATAACATTGGATGTAATTCGTAAATAGACACACTAAAATGAACAAATTGAAAAGTACGGACTAAAATTATGACAGTAAAAATTATTGGGACTAAAAACTTAATTAGGTCTATATAAAGAAAAAAGTGCAAACAGACAAAATTTTAAAACCTTCATTGCTCTCCTTTCCCTGACAAATGCTGGATGTACTTTATTTTTCAGATAATCAATCTTCTGACTGAAATACCATTCTGGAGCACGAGGCTCAATATTATACTTTTTAGCAAATGGCACCCATCTCCTAGCAAATTCAGATGTCTCAGAAAGTGCCTCAAAAGTAAGCATGGCAGCACCATCATCTGAGACATAGCATGCAACTTTATCAACTGGATAATCAACAGCAAGGATAGATAGAACAGTGTTTGCTGTAATCAGCGGAGGTTCTTTCATGGGATCAACAGTACTGACAAAGATGTCTACACTGGACAATTCAGATGGCTTCCCTTCTTTTTCATACCTGCAGCCATGTAAGAAGTAAATATTGAGGCAACACTCTAGGAATGTGGGTATGAAAAATATAATACAATATATTGATATTAAACATAGTATTGAGCAAGGACAAAAAAAATCATGAAACAAAAAGCATCAGATGTTGTAGCCTCAATTACCTCAGTGACAGACGATCAAGGTATGTTTCTCGCACTATTGGGTACCATTTTGGAAACTGATCCATTATCCATGATACAGCAAACCATATTTCACAGATGACCGATATCAACCACAACCAATATGCATCATTAACTGGGTGGAGAATTCTATAATGAAAGAAAAGCCCAAGAACTACAAGGCGGAGTATTATAATCATTCTGTATGGATTTATCTTGCTTGATGAGATAGGCATCTTCCGTGAAAGTGGCTGCCTGCCTTCATCCATCCTGAAAGGGTATATTGAGTAAAAAAATGTTTAAAATTAAACAAAATAAAAATATACAGCAAAAATTAGAAAAATAAAAATCCATTCTACCTAAACTTTTACACAACCATACTGCAGCACCTTACAACTAACAAAACAATGATAGATTGCTCAGCAAGAAGATAGGCATGTATGCTCCAACAACTTCTTAAAAATGGTTTGGCCTCGATATTATCCAGAAGCAGTGAAGCACTCTTCAGTTTCCACTCCAATCATGGAGCACAAGTATAACTTACGAAAATAAAATGGATCAAGAGTATGAGACCTACATGGGTAAATCAGGGTCTTCCAACTCATCACCAAAATTTCCACCATTGTTATTCCCTTCATGCTTCACCAACTCAAGTTTGTCATTCTGCTTTCTCTTCCAGTCTTCCATCCGGTCTTTCCAAGCCACACTTCCATACCCATACACTGCAATATCTTTCTCTGGAACCATAGGCCTGGGTTGCACTATGACAACAGAAGCACCAGGGTGACAATATAAACATATAATATGAAATGTAGAAATGCAGAATAAAACAGTTGTCCAAGGCTTACATGTAATAGAAGGATCAGTATATGGTGTGGGATGAGCTCTGTTTACATTATTCATGTATGGGGGAACAATTAGAGCATGTTGATCAGATGATATCTCAGGATCCTAAAAAAAATAAAACAGTACCACATAAGAATTGTTGTCGCTAGTATGCAGTAATGCACATTGAACTAAAAGAAAATCACAAACACTTCAAAAGGACAATTTGAAAATATACCTCCTCCCCGTAAGTCAAGAGTGGGATTTCAGAATTGAGAGGAGACGTGTCATGATCCAAATTTGTACCAGATATATTAGAATTATAACCACGTCCAGAAAGCATTGAATCTGAAGTTGGCTGAAGGCCAAAAGCATCAGGATGTCCATAACCAAACTCATTGTCTAAGTCATCAATATCATCCTCATCTTCATCACCTTCAACCCTTGGACTACCTGAAATTTCATTTATTGCTTAGTGTATTCCAACAGTAGAGTTAAGTTACAAATGTCAGAGAGAATAATATAGAAATAATTTTACCTTCAATACGTTTGTATCTGGTCTTACACTGTGGACATGCCTGATTCCCCTCTCGTCGCTCATACTCATAGCACGGTCGACAAACAGGGAAAGCACACTCATTGCAAGCAACAAAGGGCTCCCCATCCTTTATAATCTCTATCTCATCCCCACAAATCTGACATATCTGTCCACTCAACTCTTGGACAGACTTAATCTGACAAGAATTAACCAAAAAATGTAAGTTTAATTGCAATGTAAAGTTTTTAAGGGCACAATTTTTTCAGAAAACTAAAAGAAGCATTTGACGCGCATGCATGACCCTGCCACTTGATATCAGGACAATGCCCACGTTCGGTTTGTGGTTATGACATTACCGTAGTCCTTAGGCATCTCAATGTCTACTGTTCAACTAATATGCTAAAAGTGAGGGGGCATGTGATGCTCTTGCAAACCCATAGCAATGTAATGCGCCTGATCCTGTGGCTTAACCATGATTCATGAATCTACAAACACTATCCCCTTATCAATTCCTGTCTTTTATATAAATGTATATGCTTACTAATTTTATCCCCACATGAATTTTGAAATTATTAAAAATTAATTTTCATATATATTATCAAGAAAATTTATCATTAATACATGTTAATTACTGATATAGGAAAATTGTGTATTTGAGAATTCATAGTTACTCCAAACTTGTCAAGTGAAACCAAACAAATACATCATACATGTTTAGGCATCTAAGATGCCAAACCAAGTACTAAATCCTATATGGCCAAGCATCTTAGATGCCTGTGCTGCCGAATTCCTCCTAAATGATACAACCTGTCAATAAGATTAGGCATTAATAAAGTTGTCCAATGAAAAGATCAAAAATTCAAGCATTGTCTTTATTGTACAGAGGAGCCGGAGAGGAAGACAGAATAAGGCAAATTCATGTTCATAGTCCTTATTGATCTTTTGTAAGTAAATCATACATCACCATAGATATATGACAAAATCATGCAAATTGATTCACCCTCTCCAGTCAACCAGTCTTGAAATTTCACGCGGAAAATACAGATAACTCCCATAAATCTTCATGCATTGTAGAGCACTTGACATTACAGAAGGGTCAAACTAGACCACAATCAACTTAAACTGACTTTTAATTCCAAGAGAAACCAGTATTTTGCACTCTAACTTTAAAAACCAAAAGCTGGCAAGCAATTTTGTTTATGGCCAAGTTTTAAGGGGGAATATCATATTTGAATGCAAAAAAATTGACAGGAGTAAAGCATACGCGTGCCAGCTATCAAAACGGTGCAACTCTTAACCCCACCTACTACAATGAATGAATAAAGACAAATGAGCAGGGTAAGCACCGAAACTCAATCGAAACACAAAAATTTTGTTTCAGGGTTTGTTCCCATTGAAGAAAAGCCAAAGGCACAAGCATTTGCCTCACAGACCACAGACCGTGAACAAAACACAAAAGCTAAAATAAAGAGATGGGAAATCCCCGTGAATGACCGGAGATCAAAAGAAAATACACACAGATTAACTGCAGAAACAATGTTCAAAACCCAATTTTTTTTGTATTGGCAACAAACCCAGAAGCAGAAAAAGTAATGAGATGCAAAGGAGAAAGCAAACATCAAAACAGAGGAGAGATATTATTCAAATGGTGACTTACCCTTCCATTTTCGTCGGCATTGATGAGCACAAACTCATTCCTGTTGTGAGAACCAGCAACGAGTCTACCTCCCGTGTGCATCACTCACAGTTCCTGAAGAGTGTCTTCAAAATCAAGCAAAACCCCAACTCAAAAACACCAAAAATAAAAATAAAAAACCAATCTTGTTCTGAGGCTTCTCTCACAAACAAGATCCACTTTTGCACTGACATACAGATCCAAAACGACAATGATCAAGGAAAAATAAATAAACAAATAAATAAAAACAAGGCTCTCGACTTTGGTGTGCTTGTATTATTATTCCTTCACAAGCGAAGTTTAGAGAGATAAAGGAAGAGAGAAGATAGTGTATGTGCGTTTGTGTGGAAAAGAGAAGGCGTACGAGAGAAGGAGGTACAGAGAGATCGAGAGTCAATGACAGAGAGAGAGAGAGAGAGAGAGATTTTATTATTAAAAAAAGGGAAAGAGAGAAAAATAAATAAATAAAAATAAAACGTACAGAGAGATTCGAATGGTGAAAGGAACGGAGCGATTGAGGTGAGGTGGTGGGGCCCAGTGGAAGGTGGTGGCGCCGGGCTCTGCCCCCACCGGAGTTTGGTGAAAACTTTTATTCTATTTTGTTTGTTGGTATTATATTTCTACTGCAAATGAAAACGTAAACGAAAATGTGTTTTAATTTTTTAACTTTCGTCGGCAAGAGTCTTTTTATGTGGTGGGGAAGAGTGGGTAGGGTTTTTGTTTTGTTCACGTGTTGTTGTTGTGTGAAATTAAAAAACCCTCACTCACTGTCTCGGACAAGGTCCAAGGTTTGGGTTTCGGGTGTAAGCAGTTTAACATAGAAAAAAAGTCCAATTAGAACAGGGACATGGATCTGGCTGGCGAGTAGGAACTGCTCACGCGACGTAGATTTTGTCTTTCCTTAAAAATTGAAACTTGAAAGTACTCTCTCTCTCTCTCAATATATATGATATATCTGTATTTTCTCTCTCTATAGGATACTGTAAGTGTACAGTGTGCGTTGTTAGTGATGAGTGAATCGAGAATAATGAAGTCGTGTATCTGTGTACAGTGTACTTATTTAATTTTACGCGTATTTATTTAATTTTACGCTTTTGCTTGATATTTTCTTCCCGAGAAAGTAGAAATCAACCAAATATACGCGAAACGTTTAGCTGTATCAAACGCTTTAAAGTGTTGACTGTGCCATGTGTGATGTAACCAGCTATCACATCTGGGTCCCTCCTTTTCTGCTTTAAAAGGTCTTGGTTAATGTTGTGGTTCATATTCGACAAACTATGGATCCGTTGTATTTTTCTTTCTTTCTTTCTTTTTCCAATAGATTTATTCAAAATTCACTTTTTTAATAAGACACAGATTTTCTAAAACATATTTTTCTGAAATCACCTTCGATCATAAGGTGTCTTAATGTCGTGCGTCCGTGACTTATTTGTTATTACAGGTACAGGTTAATTTGGTTTTCTTTTATTTTTGTAACCTTAATTTTTTTATTTATTGTTTGCTAGTCTTGAGTCTTTTGTAAGAAGACTTCCCGTAGTCTCTCTCCCTATTTTTCCTCTCGTCCGTTAATGGAAAGCAACAGCAATCCATTCTGTACGGCAAAAATAATCAATTACCCTTCCATTGAAACGGATCTATAACTCAATTAAGACACAATTGAACCATAACCAATGTACTTCAAATCACCGTTAATTCCCAATACCCAAAACCCCAAGACCAATTATTGTACAATTGCGCACAAGTCATACAATTTTTTTTTTTATATACAATTTAAAATTAAATACATGACCTAATATAATCTCTTAAAATCCCTTATTACTATATCAAATCTAGTGATTTAAAGGATGTATTGAATTGAGATTTCAAAAAAATTTAATGGATTATTTTTGAATAAAAAAATTCGTTGGTATTCAATTAGTATTTTAAAGGATTGAAAAAAAAAATCACGTGATATTGAATTAGGATTTTAAAAGATTATTTTAGAGTACGTCCAAATCCGTTGGTATTCAATCAGGATTTTAAACAACTGAAAAATAATCTTGTGGTATTCAAAAATCTGACAATTTTAATTGATTTTTTATTGGTGTGGATTTCATGAAATTTTTCAGTGATAAATATAAATAGGATGCCTCTCTCACAATCTCACTATAACCCTTATAATTTATTGAGATTTCTCTATTGCAGTGTCTTCTTTTTCCTTTGACAGGTTGATTGACCAGCTCGAAATAGGATTTCGTTATGGGAGCTCAAAAATAACAGATTTTTTAGCAATTTTTATCGCAAAATAATCTAGAAACAACAAACCAACAATATTCTAATGTAATCCATCTCAAAAATAGCATATATCTTTTAGAGCTTTTGAAAGTTTAAAAATTGAGTTTTTAAGCTATGGGTGACGATTTTTCTTGGGACAAAAAGGTGTGATTTTCGTATTAAAAACAATATAAAACAGTGAAAAATAACATGGGAACTAAAACCCTCAAACCAATTTTTGTTTTATATCAATGAAATAATATCAATTTAAAGAAAGATTGAAACTTTCATAATATGAATCCTATATTTCGTAACAATACATTCATGAACGAAATTCATTTTCCATCAAAAACAATTTCAAATAATTTTTGTGTAATAAATAACTAAAAACTTATTTTCAAAAGTACCAAAGCAATTTAAAGTTTCAATGTATCGATTGAAAATAATTTGAAATTTTTTATAAATTTTTATATAATAAAACCCAGAAATTTAGATTCGAAATTTTCTTAAAATACTTAATGAAAATATGCATATTGTACCGTTGGGATTAGGGGTGTTCATCAACCGATTCAAACCGCGGTGACCGAACCGAAAAATCGATAACCGAGAATCGAAAAATCGAAAATCGAAAAAAATCGCAAATTTTAATTGGATTGGATCGATTTTTGGATGGGTTGATGAAAACCGATCCAATCCAAACCGATCCAATATATTAATTCCCCTCTATCTACTTGGATTTTTCTCCAATCATAGCCCAAGAATTTCTAAACTCAAGACCTATTAGGTATCAACTAAACCCAAGAAAAAATCTAGTCACATCTCATCAACAAAATTTTATCTTTGTAGAGCTTCATATTTCATTGTCTAAAAAAAAACTATAATATAGTTTACTAATGCTTTTGGATTTCAAAAAAAAAATTACAAAGCCAATATATACAAAAGATGTTATTTGCACAATAATCATGAAATAGATTTTAGGTTTTTCAAAAAACCGAAAACCGATCCAATCTAAACCAAAAAAATTGGATTGAATCGAATCAGATTTGAAAAAAAATCCAAACTGAATGGATGATTATATGATCAAACTAAAGAGATTGGACCGGATGAATTTTGCTTCCAAAACCGATCTAATCCAGACCGCGAACATCCCTAGTTAGGAGATGAGACATTTTGGTGTCTCCCCTAGGGAGTGTCGTTTCATTGGGAGTTGGGGAAGGTTTCCAGTTGGTAGGGCTGACGTGGATAGGGAGTTATGATGGGGCTTGGACCTTTGGGCCACTGCTGTTGGGCCATCCGGAACAGGAGGCCCCCAGCTTGGTAGCAAGTGTAAATTGGTGCCAAGGTAAAAAAGGTTCAGGCGACGCCTCACTGGCGATCTGCATGGTTGTCAATAAGGTGAAAAGAGTTTGGGCATCACCTGAGTGGCTGACGCCAAGGTAAAGGGTTTGGGCGTCACCTGAGTGGTGTAGGAGTAGCACCCAATATCTTAGTGACTTAGTGTTTGGGGTTCCCACCCTCTTTGAGGCGGGGTTCCATCCTATTTGTGTCTTTGGTGGGCCGTGTAGTCCTGTAGGGGGTATTTTGGGTATTTCGTCCTTCTGACACGCAAAGTGCCTTTTCGGTTTTCGAGGGGTGGTAATGATGGTTTCTTCCATCATTGCAAATAACTGCAGAACTCAATCGTCACGAGGCACGGCACACTAATGCGACGTGAAGGGTGTCTTGTCCCCCCGTAATTACCATCAAGACCCTCATCACAACCGCCTATTGTCTGACGGTTATGCCATCCTACGGTCGAAATGGTGAGGTCCTACATGTGTACGCCACCTTGATCTCCTTGATCCTTTTTAAAGGAGGTTCGTCCCCTCCTGAGGACCCTCTTCTCATTACCTCAAGCTCTTCGTGTTCCAGCGTTCTTCATTTGTCTTTTGACTTCTTTGCGATAGTGCTCGTGCCGGTTCTCATTTCTTCCCTGTCTGCATTATCTCAGGTACAGTGTTTCTAGCTTGTAGTTTTGATATTCCTTTGTATTTCTTTTAGCTTGCTTCTCTTCTCCTTTTTCTGGTGATGGTTAAGATAACATATGTGCCTGGGTTGTTCTTGCCGGAGATAGAGGTTGAAGTTAAGGAGGAGGAATTTGATGAAGCCTTCGACACGCTCGAAGGCTGTACAGTAGGGTCTGCTATGCAGGAATATCTTGCTAAGCGTAGTGGGGAAGGCAGTAGCTTTCCCTCATATCGTTCTTTAGTTCTGGGATTGAGTCGTTGTCCCATGGTAGGATTCCCGAGCTTCTTGGTTTTACTGAAGAGGAGATTCAGAATCTCCTGCCAGAAAGGGCTTTAGGACCTGTGCTTCCATATTTGGGTGAGGCGTCTGGCTCTCGTATTCGTAGTGAGCGCCAGGCGTCGTGTGGTGGGACCGCTTCTGGATGTGGTAGGCGTCAGTCTGCTAGTTCCGAAAGGCGACGGTCGGGTGGTTCTAGTGAAGGGGTTAGGTCTCGCCCTTCATGAAGTAGTCATTCAAGGTCTTCTAATCGTTCTTGCAATCAGAGGAGAGGTTCGCGTAGCCATGTTTCGCAGCGCTCTGCTCTTGAAGTAAGGCGACTTGTTCGACCTTTGTCTTCTGTTAACCAACTTCCGCAAAATCATCCAATAGAGTATTATTATAAGCCTCGCTCTTTAGGGAAAACCCATCTGACTGTTGACTCTTCTGTCGCCTTGAGTACATCGCGTGGCCATATTCCCAACATTTCCCAGTCCTTCCATCGCCGTAAATATGACGAATCTATAGACAACCGACTAGGTAGATACCACCCAGAGGATGGACGACTTGTGAAGTATGGCGTATGGGACGCCATATATGAAGACCTGGGGCTTTATAAGATACCGCCTGCGTGGTGGCCTTCTTCTCTAAGCTATTCAGATTTTTACTCTTCGAGCTCTTCCGAAACCTCTGATTCTTATGGTAAGTTGTTTGTGCTTGAGCTATTTTTGATTTAGTTGTCAGTAACGGGGGTGTTGGTGGTCACAGGAGTGGGAGTTGAGTGTTATGGAGGTTTGAAGTTGTCCCCCATT